CCCGCTCAGAGTCAGCCCACCTGTTTGCACTTGAGGCCAGTCTGGGTGATTTCTCTGCCCTCTGCATCTCCAATAATCTGGTGCTGAAACCTGGGATAGAGGAACCCTCCCTGGAGGGCTTCCAGCCCTCACCTGAGCCTTTGCCTTGATGAGATCACCCGGTAACAACTATTTCTCAACATGTGCATCAGACTCCATCTCAGACAGTCCCTAACAACCACTTCAATTCATGTGAGACACTTCCCTTTATCCCTTTGCCTAGGTCCTGTCTTCTCTACCACTGTTTCAGTTGCCCAACAGCCCTCTCCTTCCTTCCACTTCCTTTCACTTGCCAAGATCTTTCTCTCTTTAGCCCCTCACCTGCTGATATAGAGAGAGTCTCATTCTGCTTTCTGTGCTTCTTAAATCCAGCACTGATAATAAAACATTCCCTGCAAGGAATTGTCTTCCCTTGGTGTCTGGCCAGATTGCAGAGACATCTGCCTTGGCCACTCACCTCACTGCAGTACAGCACTGTGTTGCAGCTGGAGACATTCACTGTTGACCTTGCTGCCACTCTCATTATCTCTCTCTGCTCTCCATGGGGAAATTCCCTCCCTCTAGTCCCCTCTCCTCTCCCCTAGCCTGTCTCCTGAAAAAGCTAAAACCTCTCAGTCTCTATCCTGATCTGTAGCTCAAATGCCTAATACTTTTATAATACTGCTTGGCCACAAAATAAACTTGGAGATGGCTCTCAGTGGCCTGAAAATAGCACCTCTGATTTTTCCATATTGGATGACTTAGATAATTATTGCCAAAAATTAGGTAAATGGTATGCAGTGCCCTATGCCCAGGCATTCTTTATACTCCATAGTCTTCCCACTCTGTGCACCTCCTGTGATTTCTCTCAAATCCTCCTTCTTTCCCTCCCATCTGTTACTCCTACAGTCCCCTCCAATGTTGACTCTTCCATGATGACAGATTCAACTGACCTCACTCTTCCACACCAGTTCCCTGAACCTCCTGCCACAACTGCCACAGCTGCTCACCCCCTAAAGCTTCCTACTGTTCCTACTCAGCCCGTGATGAGCCTTTTGCTACTCTTCCAAGCCAGCACCCTTCTAGGCCTTCTGCCTATCCAACGCTATCCCCTGACTGTAGCCCTCCTTCATACACTGTACTCAGATGTAGTTTGTCTCATACCTGGTCTGGATTATAATTTGGCCCCTTATCCCTTACCCCTCACTTTGACTCCAAACCTTTGCTTTTCACCCCTCAGTTCCAGCTCCAGCAGATGGCCAGAGCAGAAGGAATAGTCAGATTTCATGTTCTTTTCTCTCTGAAAGACCTCTCCCAAGTTAACCAGCATCTAGGTTCCTTCTCCTCAGATCCCATTCAATATATCCAAGAGTTCCAATACTTAACCCAGTCATATAACCTCACCTGGACTGATATAAACATTATCCTGGGCTCCACTCTGTCCTCAGATGAGCAAGAATGAGTAATCTAGGGATTACTCAGTCTTATGGGGATGAACAACACTTTCTTCAGGCCAATCTCCTGGTGGACACTACAGCTGCACCCCAAGAAAACCCAAACTGGAACTATCAGGCAGGATCCAGGGACATAGCCAACCAAGACTGCATGGTTTCCTACCTAATACAGGAACTTTGCGGGGTGGCCCACAGGTAGTTAATTTTGATAAGCTTAAAGAAACTGCCCAGGCCAAAGATAAAAGGCTCGCCTGGCTACTACCCTTAAGTGATACAAAACATTAGATCCAGAAAAGCGAGAAGGGTAGTTCATCTTTAATATCCACTTCATTATTCAGTCTGCCCCAGACATTTGTTAACAAAACAAAACAAAACAAAACAAAAAACAGACACTGGAGACTGGCTCTCAAACCCCACAACAGAAGCTAATCAACCTGTCCTTCAAGGTTTTTAATAACAGAGATAAAAGTGCTCAAAAGAGCATTTCTGAGCTACAGATGGTAGCCTCTCCATAAGAAGCTTCTCAAAGTCAA